ATTGTGTAACACAATCTTTTCGCCAGCATTTGCGTTAGTATATTATAAATGGAGCAACATGTATTATCTTAACAAAATTGCTGACCTTTAGGCCCATATGATTCAAGGTCAGAAGTAACTAGCACACTGATAACAATATGACAACCTGAAAGCCCTACAAATTACATTGTATGTTATCAAATGGACCTTAGGTTTTATGTTATTACGTCATCAACATCAACATACCCAGTATATTCCAAAACAGGTTGAGGTCTGGGGGGCAGTTGTACGCAGACCTTACCCTTGTAATTATACAAGGAGGTTGTTTCCATAGCGACCCAAGGTGCGTTGCGTCGTTTGATATATTTTTTCTAGAAACTTCACTAATAGAAGAATCACTAGAATTTAATTGAGTCATTTTGATCTAGTCCATTATTTGCACGATGCCAGAAGAATTGTCAACAATGTCTCTTCCAGCTCCATTTGCAATGGACTCAAGGTTTTATGTTATTAGTTCAGAAATATTTACATTCTCCATTCATTTTGTAATGCAGCCTACAAGAGAAGCAGTTACCTTAAAGTAAGGAATAGTGTTCTTCAGAAAATCTCGTGCTGGCTGGAAATCTGCATCAAAGATGGCTACAAACTCATAATTCTTGACATAATCACAACTCATTGCAGATCTAAGGTTCCCTGCTTTATATCCTGTCCGAATAAGACGATGCCTGTAAATGATGTGCACACCTCTATGTTGCCATTTATGTACTTCTGCCTTAATAACGGATTGAACATCAGTATCATCAGAATCATCCAAAACTTGTACAAGCATCCTCTCCCTAGGCCAATCCTGGACACATACAGCTGCAATAGATTGCTGGTATACCTGAGCCGCATTATGAGCGGAAAATGAGAAAACAGAACTGAGAATAAACAAAAAAACATTTCAATATATTAATGGAGACAAATGCAAACAAGTTCTGCATCATGAATTCCATGGTATCTCCTCCACATCTTTTTCTGTTACTGTTATGAGCTTCAGGAATTAACTGTTTGTGTATGATAAAATAAATAAATAGCTCTGTTTTGTCTCAACATTGTACTCATAGCTAATGCAACAATGACAGAGAAGTTAAAGATATGTGTGTTTCAAACATACATATTACTTAATTGGGTAAGGTTATTTCTTCTTTTACATTATACAATAATCATGGAATTGATGTTCTTTATTTCACTTTTAAAAAAGTAAGTCGCTGGTGATTTTACCGAACAAGAGACCGGCAAAGGAGCATGTCATTGAGACTATTTATGGATATATAGATAGATAATACTCACCCATATAAATTACTGTATCTGAGAAATAATAATGATAATAATAATCCAGAATTCTTATACATTCCATTCCAATAACAAAAGCGCTACGACCACGAAGGAGGTTTATAAATGAAGCCTTTAGCTTTTTCTATAGCAAGCCTTATATAAAGGTAGACAATCCCTATGGTAGAACATCTTGACCTCACCTCTCGTGGAAACATAAGGTATGTAGTAATTTAAAACAGGATGATACAGTAATACTATTCGCTTGGTGCTGAATATGAGGAAAGTTTTTAGAAATCTCTTACAGCATCCTCAAGCATATATGCCAACCTTTTCTTACACTTCGAATGAAGCTAGTCATGCTTGTGTGTGCCAAGTGCGTGGTCATGATACGAATATTTAAGGAATACCACACATTTAAAAGGTTCCTATGTGTATGTATGTTGTTCAGACAAACCTATCTAAACTTTTAATTGCATTAACTATAATATATAATCCTCATAACATGTTTTAACCAAAATGAAAGTCCCTCTTTCTTTCTCATCAGACTGGAGTATAGTATAGATACTTGATAATATATTAAAATAAATAGCTACTAATCCGGTATCACTAGAATATAGAAAAAAAGTTTATACAAGAATGTGCTTAAAAGAAGCATGCCAAGTGTGCCACATTTCCTGTGCAAATGAAGACGGTGATATCAATGCGCAAATCTATGATAGGTTAGATAAATTAACACCCTATCGTTCACAAATAACAGAAACAACAAATAGTTAACCCCCAAGGCAATCAGTCAGTATATGTGCTTTCTCAAATAAACTTTTCCTCGAGCAGAATATTAAAAGCAAATTAACTCAGCTTGGTATCGATTGTGATGTAAAGTATAGTACCCCTGGTCTTCCAAAATCTTTAACTTTTTACTATGCTCAGTAAGGACATCATAAGGAAAATAAATTCAATTAGTCTACATGCATATACTCATAGGAAGTAAAACAAACAAACAAAAAAATCACCAATAACAAAAATTATGTTCACTTCAAAATGTGTTTATGAACTTCAAAAACTAAAAATCTGAATAGGGCTTTGAAAACCTACGTCTTCTTACCTCCCTCTCATTGCACATTGGTATTTGCACCATCACCATTGGATAGTCAGCGACATTTATGCTCCCTTTCTCGGCATCCTGCTTATAGTTCAGCTTCGCAGCCGGTCTCAACCCTCTAATCTTAATATAAAAACAACCAAGCACCAAAACAAACCGATCTACAGACTGTATCAAAAACAACACAATGCACACATTCGTCAAGCTCTGTAACAAAGGCCCCAAATACTTGGCCCTAACTTCCAACCACTTGGCATATATATATTCCACCGAGAACTCCAACCCCGCTTCCAGAGTAGGAGGAGAAAAAAGCCATCCCCTGTAGTACGCGACAAGCTCAATGAAAAGAAGACAGACGCTGAGTATCAAAAAGAACTTGATGATTTTGTAAAAGTTAGAAGATTCGGAACGAGATCCATGGGAGGCCGAGGATATGCGGCGTTTGGCGGTGCGGGCGAGGGAGAGGAATCTGCCAGGAAGGGAAGATAACGAATACGCAATTTGGTTGAACTTGAGGAGGTAAATCCAGGAGAGCTGCCGCGCGCTGCGCGAGCGGTCCTTCTCCGCCGCGGCGAAGGCAGAGGCATCAGAGGAGGTCGTACTGTGGATGTTGACGGCCAGGAATCGTATGTCCTCGGACGCGGAAGAGCAGAAAGGGTCGTCGGCGCGGTCCTTGGATCGCTGCTTGTTCCACCATTCCTGAAACTCGTAGTTTGGTGGACGAGACATGTAGGTCTATGGGCGGTAGGATCTGAATGCGTGTGTGCGAAAGGTGTGTCAATGGCGGATCATTGCAGGCACGGTGTGTGTTTTGGATCCGGATAAAAGGGAAACGAGCAGTGGGAAGAGGTAAAAGCAGCTAATGTTAAACATGTTTAAACAAGTGAACTCTTTTTTTTTTTTTTT